GGGAAATATGCGACCCGCGCCCGGAGCGCACTTCAAACTGATATTTTAGAAACAAATCGTCACTTTCACACACATGTCGCACATGGATCGAAAGATCTATTCTTTATGCACAAGATTAACATACATAACATGCCTCAAACAACTAATACAATCACTAAAAACATATTTTTTCAAACTTACTCTGTTTTACTCTAGTTTTTTGATAGCCCCGCCTTCCAATGCCACGTGACAAAAATCTCGCCGGCCTACGTCAGAACGTTGGGAAATACCTTCGGTAACGCAAGATCTCGTCAAGTCATGTGACATTTCTCATGGCCTAATTTCCATATAAACATGGGTTGGTATAGAAAACGTTGGAATATGCTTTTCGTAATGATCTTTGAAACATCTTATTGATACCACTTAGTGCATAAAGAATAGATCTTTCGATCCATGTGCGACATGTGTGTGAAAGTGACGATTTGTTTCTAAAATATCAGTTTGAAGTGCGCTCCGGGCGCGGGTCGCATATTTCCCACTTATTTTAGAGGGCCGGAGTTCTGACGTTAATCGACGACAGACCGATTTGAAAAAAGTCGATAAAACGTCAGAATAATTCGGACTAGGTGGGGCCCAATGGAGTCTGTGCTAAAATTTCTTCATTTTCCTTGTTTAGAATCAGAGGTGCTAGTTTCAAATACTTTTCAGTCTTAAATCTGCATGCTAGATATTGAATAAGGTGGGGGTTTTTTTTTTTGTCACTTTGAATAATTTCTGTTCATGTTAAAAACAAAAATCAACTCTCTGTATAAATATTTCAGGTGAATGTTAAGGCCCATCAGGGCCTCTTGTTATTGATGAGGTTTACACCAAATTCTACAGAGGAACGAAAAGTAGACATTTATACTCGTTGATGGCTAAATCTAATACCTACACTCAATAGAACTCCCAACTACAAAATTGGTGTGCGGGCTAACTGGTTTTACAATGCAATTTGCTGGTTTTTTATCCTGCAATAAGTCCATGTCTGGTAATAAACACACTCATATGTATTGCAGTTCAGTTAAAATAGATAAAAATGCTATATAATTGGCCTGTAATAAACACACTCACCTATCCCTACTTTGAGTCAGAGATCATTTTTTGTCCTCTGGGCTTATTTCTGTATAAATATGGTAATAGAATTCATCAAGGACGAGTGAATCATATAGCCTTTCTAGTCATTCAGACTTATACAAATGATTTAATCACAGCATTACTTGACTGATATATTAACTGCTTATTGTTAAAATTGTCCATGATGAAATCATACTTTTATTCCAATTGAAAGTTTCATGTCCAGGGCTGAGGGTGCTGCCTTCAGCAGGCAGGTCTTGAACTGGTAACATCACAGTTGAACTAGTAAATATTAACTCATTCACCCCTGAAATTTCATAATGAACTATTCCAATCATTCAATTGGAAGAGTTCAAATGTGTCTTCAGGGGTATTCAGAATGAGTTAAACTGGATTTCTGTACTAGAAAGCAGAAACATTAGGTAACTATAACCCTGACCAGTATACAGACTCCATTAGTTAGTGAAGGAATATTGTAGCTGAATTGGCAACATTAAAACGGTCCTCCATTATACCATGTGATTTGTTCTCATTGAAAATTTATAAAACATGTACTTTATTGAAAAATCACACCTTGTCCTACTATAAAAGCCGCCAATGCTTCGTAGGCGATTCACAGTCTTTCACTAAAATATTTATTTCCCCCAAGGCCAGGCAGATAACTGTTTTCTGTCAGGATTCTGTTTTTCGCTACAGTGCAGATCTTGTTTTCAGTCCATTGACATACATAGATTCTCTGGCTATATCAACATTCCAGAACACAATATCAAGCATAATGTTGCTGGTACCACTGCAAGAAACTGTCAGTAGAATTCAAATTCAACAAATGATATATGTACTGGACTTTATTTCTGATTGACTGATAGATTATATAGACCCTACTTTGAATTTAAGATTTTGGATCGACTTGACCATAATTGAACCCTTTCACTACTGTAGACCAGAATGGACTCATCCAGATCAATGCAGGGTAGAGTCTACTAAAGTTACATAGGGATGAAAGGGTTAAAGATTGTTCTTCAGAATTTTGGATTTAAATTAAAACTTGGTCTGTTGGTATACATTTGAGAAATGGGCAGATAGGAATGAATTTGTTCCCCTGGCATCTTGGAAAATGAAATATCTAACCATTCTTTGAAGATATCCCAGTACACATATTTCAAATGAACCGTCAACACAATTTTCAGTCCTGACCATGTCAAGAAACATACAATTTGATTGTCTTGGTCTTTTGGTCTGTTTTGCCAAAAGAATGAATTCGAAATTCGAAATTCGAGAAAATAATGTTAGAAACAGTTTTAGGAATATACAATTTGATTGTCCTGACCTTCTTTCTGCCTGGAGTATGAGTGTGGGAGTGGGTAAGAAAAATGTACAAATTTACAATTTGATTGTGATGTCTTTCTGTCTGCTTTCCAGACCAGTGTATGAGGGTGTATATAGCTAGTCCACCACTCTGTTGTTGTAGGAGTATTCTGGTTGACTAAAAATAAGATGCTCCAAAAAAAAAACATGTGGAGTTATAGGCAAGCAATGATATCTTGATAAAAACACCTTTGTCTCCTGTTCTCTCTACAACAGTGTATGTGTGTATGGAGATATTGGTAAACTGTAAAAGTGGACAACATCTTTGTCTCCTTGTTCTCTCTACAACAGTGTACGTGTGTATGGAGATATTGGTAAACTGTAAAAGTGGATATTTTTGCAGTGTGATAATGGCTGTGTTCTTTGCATGGAGTAAATTAGCATAAAAAATAGCCAAATGAAAAAATATAT